TTGGTGTCGCTGTTGTATTTTTGTTGTTGTCGATCATGGCCCCAGTGTTTTGCTGTGTCTTCCCTCTTTGGTTTTATCTTTCTTCCTTCTGCGTATGCTTTCGTTCTGCTCCTCGTCAGTCAGTCCATTATCTCTTGCCCTTCCTCCCTCAGCCGCGCTCGCCGGTCCTGCCCTACCGTCCGGCGTTATCTTCTTGCCTGTTTCCTCTCCTTCATCGGGTCAGGTTCTATCTTCCCTTTCGCTTCCCTGACCCTTCTCTCGCGACCTTTTCTTCCCGCGGCCGATCGTCTTCGGTCTCCCTTTTCCCCTTTCACTGTTCCGTCACCCACATGAGAGCTTCACGCAGGAGGCCCGTCATGAGGGGATCGTCGTCCTGCTATGCATGGTGCGGGTGCAGGACGAGGCATGCGCGTGACAGGCCCGCCGCGGCCTTCCCTGCTCGGCGTGGCGGCGTCATGCAGAGCGCGCCAGGCCAGCGTGGAGGCAGGTAGCGGCGCTCGGCTCGGGCCCCGGCTGCCCCTCCCACTGCAGTCGCTGCTCAGTTTCCTCGTGGGCTTTGCTTTCGCTGCTGCCGCTGGCCGCCTGTAGCAGACTATGTGACATTTGTGCTGTCTGGTGCGCCGTTCAGCTGTCGCCATGCGCATGCGAGGCAGAGGCTGTTGAGGCAGCTACTACATCGCTGATGTTATTGCGTCTGACATGACAGCTCACCAGCGCCCTCAACGCGACGTCACAGTTGCGTCACGGAATGCGTCGGCCGCCACGCGACGCTACGGCTGGCCTGTCACGTAGCTCCCGCTCCCCCTACTTACCCCCCCCCCCTCTCGCCGCCGGCGATGTCGACACGTGTCGTTCGTCACGGTCACAGTGTCACGCTCACGTCACATCGTGTTACGTCGATGTGACGTGAGCGTGATCGGGGCCTCTGGGTGTAACGCGGCCCGCTGTCGCAAACGGGGTGTAACCTGGTTTAGGGGTGGGGGAGAGGTAAGGGTGGGGAGGGGGTGAGGTGAGGATGGGTGTGGGGTGAGTGAGTGGTTCAGGAGGGAGGGATGAGTGGGATGGGTGGGTGGTGAAGGAGGGAGGGTTGGGGTGGCGCTTGACTCCTTGTCATGAAGCTAATCTATAGAAAGATTTGTACAGTTACACACTCTTCAGAGATCCAGCATGCAGCCTGTTGTTGTGCACAGAGCAGGGAATAACAGAAATGACATGTAATATATTATTGAACAGAAACTAAGACTTGTAACAGTAACAACGGCGAAACGGGAGCAGCATTAAACAGAATACAAAAAAATCACCTAAATCCCATGGAAAGACGTACGCTGTAGAATGAGACCCACGCAGTGCCAGGCGACAAAAGCAAAGAGAGTAATAAGTATGTATGACAAAGACACAAGATTTAGGGGCACTTGATGACATGCAGGAAAGGGAAAGGCGCGACTGCCAAGCAGAAAACAGCCGAGAATCAATGACTTGCAGGAAAGGGGAGTCGCGTGATTCGGTGGGAAACATCCGTCTCCACACCGACGGCGCGTGGTTTCCGAAACCCCGACGGGGGCGCAGCGGAGACCTGATGCGCGAGGGGAATAGCCGCGAGGGAGGCGAGGCGCCGGTCCCAGCGCGGGGAATGTGACGGACAGAATGACTCGAATCGCGGTGAAGGGAATCGGCGCCGAGGCGGAGCGGCGTGAACCTGCGGCTATTTTGGGATATTCATTGTCTCGGGGGAGGAGGGGGAGGGGGGCGGGAGGGACGTCAAGGGCGAAGAAGTAAATTGTAGTTTCTGTTGTGATACATTTTATTCATATATTCTTGTTCAGTCTTTTGATATATATATTTATATATATATTTAGTTGTATGTATGGTTCTTTGTCCCATTGTGTTTACGAACTCTATTTCTTGCTCGCACTCCCCCCCCCCCCCCACACACACACACACTTCCTCCTTCAACCCTCTTCCGTCTCCTTGGCTCCCCTCCCTCACGCCCTCCCTCTCCTCTCTCTCTTCCTCCCCTCCAGTCTCCCGCCCTCACCAGCTGTTTATTTATTTATATATTCATTTTTGTATTTACGCGTCCGGCACTTCGCGCCCCGCGAGGGCGGCCTTGATCTCCTCCAGAGGAACATGATTTATCGCCTGGATGACGTCACAGGAAGGGCGCCGACCTCGTGCGGGCACGACGACGAGTGTCCTGCGGCGGAGTGACCGACGGGGCGGCCGATCAGAGTTGGTCGACGCCCCGGTCGGCGACGGGGCGGCCGTCGGAGTGGCCGATCGGAGTGGCCGACGGGGCGGCCGACGGGGCGGCCGACGGGGCGGCCCGAGCGGCGCGAAACTCGGAATGGTGAAGAGTGCCGCCGCGAACGCCCCGGGCGCCCACGGCTCCGACGGACTGAGCGGCGACGGTGCCAGAGAGAGCGGGAGCGAGGGAGGACAGGGACGGATCGGCTGCGATTGTGATCTTGATGATGAGGCGGACGTGTCACGTGACGCATGA